TTATTGCTACGAGTTTATGAAAGTTATGAAGTAATATTTTAAAATATGAAAACGCTGGATGGGTTGTAAATAGCTTAATTTTACACCTTTTTTCACCTTTTAATCGAAATAGCCCGAAAACGGAATCGAAATTAAAAAAACTGGTCCCAACATTTTGTGCGCCTTTAAAGGGCGCACAATTTCAGTTATACCAGATTTGAAAAAAATAATATTTGCTTTCGAAAAATGGTACCTAACTGTCAAAATTGTAGTTTTTTGTCAATTTACGCCACTTCCGGTGCCGACAGATAACACTATTGGTAACCAAAAAAATGACAATTGAGACAACGGAGCATATGAACTTTGTTTTATACAAATCGAACAATAAATAATTAATCTAGGACTGAAAAACTGAATTAGCCAATGGGGCCAAGGAAAATTACCGAGACAAAAAATTTTCACATTTTTGCCCAAGTCAGAGGACTCGTTATATTTGTGTAAAACACGACTAAAAAATATTCATAAATAAAAAAGTTTTTTGTAAAAATTTAAATTTTCTAAATTTAGCGCCTAATATCTGCGAAGATTTGCCGAAAATCAAAAATCAAAAGTAGCGTAGCTATGTGCCCCGTCTCCGGCTATGCCAAAATGCATCGAAAGTTAAAATCCAATGATTATTGTTAAAATTACTGCAATATTTCTAAAAACGATAGCTTCGGTGATTTCGGACATTTCGCATTGTCGCAGAACGTTCAAAATAGCTTTATCCTCTAAGTCACACCCACTTTTCCGCTAAAACCGAAGAAATCGTAACGATCCGACAATCAGTTGCTGAGATCTACTCAAAACAAAAGAAGAATAATAATAATAAGAACTAGAACTGCGATGCAGTAATGACGGGTTTCACCGGTGCCACTTTACCCTAAACATGTTACTTCCCGTACCAATGAAACCATTAAACAGGTTTCCACATAAGCATTGCACACATCAAATAAAATGGACGCCGAATCAACAAAATCCAGCAATATCAATTCATTTTATACATTTGTTACATGTAAGTGTACTGTACTTCCGGTGATAATGAAAATGTTCAATTACTTTTATGAAATCAGAAATGACATAGGGCATCACATGGTGAAAATTGTATGTAAATCGAATAACAATTGCCACTTTTATAGACCAAAAACCTTGAAAAGTGACTTGTAGAAAATCGCCTATTTCTCTGCAACCGTACAAGTTAGAAACCATTTTCTGGTATCTGTATGATCGTATGGGTTCAATCTATTTGCTGATTGGAATCAAATATCATAATTTTAAAAACAATACAAATAAGACTCATTTGAAAAAAATATCTGTTTTGAAGGCTAAAAATACAGTTTTTGCCAAAATGACGTTACTTCCGGTGATAATGAAAATGTTAAATTAGTTCTATGAAATCATAAATGACACAAGATATCATATGGTGAAAATTTTATGAAAATCGAATAATAACTGACACTTTTATAGACCAAAAACCTTGAAAAGTGACTTAAGGAAAATCGCCCATTTCTCTGCAACCGTACAAGTTAGAAACCATTTTGTGGTATCTGTATGATCGTATGGGTTCAATCTATTTGATCAATAGAATCAAATATCATAATTTGAAAAAAATAACAAATACGAATCATTTGAATAAAATATTGTTTTTTGAAGGCTAAAATTTAAGTTTTGAGCAAATGACGTCATTTCCGGTGGCAGCGCAAGGGGTAAAATGGTTTGACATAGTCCACTATGGCATTAGGCATCCAATGGCGAAAGAAAATTGAAAATCGAATAATAATTGATTCTTTTACAGCCAAAATTACGTGAAAAGTGACTCATGCAAAATTGCCTATTTCTCGGCAACTGCTTATATTACAAACTAATTTTCACATACATTCTCTTCGTATGGATTATAGCTACAAGTTTATAAAAGTTACGTAAAAATATTTTAAAATCTGAAAAGCCTGAATGAGTTGTAAATAGGTCAATTTTACGCCTTTTTTCACCTCTTAATCCAATTTGCTAGAAAATGAAAAAGAAATTAAAAAAACTGCTTCCGACATTTTTTGCGCCTTTAAAGGACACACTCTTTGAGTCATATAATTTTTCAAAAAAATAATATTTGTTTTCAAAAAATGGTACCTAACTGTCAAAATTGTAGTTTTTGGTAAAATTATGCCACTTCCGGTGCCGACAGATAACACTTTTGGTAATAAAAAAAATGACAATTGAGACAACGAAGCATATGAACTTTGTTTTATACAAATCGAACAATAAAAAATTAAGCTAGGACTGAAAAACTGAATTAGCCAATGGAGGCCAAGGAAAATTACTGAGACAAAAAATTTTAACATTTTTGCGCAAGTCAGATGACTCTTTAATTCTGTGCACAACACGAGTAAAAAATATTCATCAATAAAAAAGTTTTTTGTAAAATTTTAAATTTCCGAAATTTGGCGCCTAATATCTTCGAATTTTTGCTGAAAATCAAAAATCGAAAGTAGCGCAGCTATGTGCCCTGTCTCCAGCTATGCCAAAATGTATCGAAAGTTAAAATCCCATGATTATTGTTAAAATTACCGCAATATTTGTAAAAACGATAACTTCGGTGATTTCGGACATTTCGCATTGTCGCAGAACGTTCAAAATAGCTTTATCCTCTAAGTCACACCCACTTTCCCAGTAAAACCGAAGAAATCGTAACGATGCGACAAGTAGTTGCTGAGATCTACTCAAAACAAAAGAAGAACTAGAACTGCGAAGCAGTAATGACGGGTTTCACCGGTGCCACGTTACCCTTGAACTTATGTCACTTCCGGTACCAATGAAACCGTTAAACAGGTTTCCACATAAGCATTGCACACATGAAATAAAATGGACACAGAAACAACCAAATCCAGCAACCAATTCATTTGCTACATGTCAGTGATCCTGTCAAAATTACATTACTTCCGGTGATAATGAAAATGTTAAATTGGTTTATGAAATCAGAAATAGCATCATCACATGTTGAAAATTTTATGTAAATCCTATAATAATTGCCACCTTTATAGACCAAAAACCTTGAAAAATGACTTGTAGAAAATCGCCTATTTCTCTGCAACCGTACAAGTTAGAAACCATTTTGAGGTATCTGTATGATCGAATGAGTTCATTCTATTTGTTGATTGGAATCAAATATCATAATTTTAAAAACATTACAAATCTGATTCATTTGAATAAAATATCTGTTTTGAAGGCTAAAAATACAGTTTTTGCCAAAATGACGTTACTTCCGGTGATAATGAAAATCTTAAATTACTTGTATGAAATCGTAAATGGCATTATGTATCACACAGTGAAAATTTCATGAAAATCGAATAATAATTGACACTTTTATTGACAAAAAAACCTTAAAAAGTGACCTGTTGAAAATTGCCTATTTCTCCGCAACTGAACAAGTTAGAAACCATTTTGTGATATCTATATGATCGTAAGGGTTCATTGTATTAGTTGATTTGAATCAAATATCAAAATTTTAAACAAATAACAAATATGACTCATTTGAATAAATTACTGGTTTCGAAGGCTATAAATACAATTTTTGCCCAAATTACGTCATTTCCGGTGATATTGAAAATGTTAAATTGGTTTGACCTAGTTAAAATTGACATTACACATCAAATGGTGTCACTTTTATGAAAATCGAATAATAATTGACTCTTTTACAGGCAAACTAGCGTAAAAAGTGACTCATGCAAAATTGCCCATTTCTCGGCAACTGCGCATATTACAAATTAATTTTCACATACATTCTCTCCGTATAGATTATTGCTACGAGTTTATGAAAGTTACGAAGTAATATTTTAAAATATGAAAACGCTGGATGGGTTGTAAATAGCTTAATTTTACACCTTTTTTCACCTTTTAATCGAAATAGCCCGAAAACGGAATCGAAATTAAAAAACATGGTCCCAACATTTTGTGCGCCTTTAAAAGGCGCACAATTTCAGTTATACCAGATTTGAAAAAAATAATATTTGCTTTCGAAAAATGGTACCTAACTGTCAAAATTGTAGTTTTTTGTCAATTTACGCCACTTCCGGTGCCGACAGATAACACTATTGGTAACAAAAAAAATGACAATTGAGACAACGGGGCATATGAACTTTGTTTTATACAAATCGAACAATAAATAATTAATCTAGGACTGAAAAACTGAATTAGCCAATGGGGGCCAAGGAAAATTACCGAGACAAAAAATTTTCACATTTTTGCCCAAGTCAGAGGACTCGTTATATTTGTGTAAAACACGATTAAAAAATATTCATAAATAAAAAAGTTTTTTGTAAAAATTTAAATTTTCTAAATTTAGCGCCTAATATCTGCGAAGATTTGCCGAAAATCAAAAATCAAAAGTAGCGTAGCTATGTGCCCCGTCTCCGGCTATGCCAAAATGCATCGAAAGTTAAAATCCAATGATTATTGTTAAAATTACTGCAATATTTCTAAAAACGATAGCTTCGGTGATTTCGGACATTTCGCATTGTCGCAGAACGTTCAAAATAGCTTTATCCTCTAAGTCACACCCACTTTTCCGATAAAACCGAAGAAATCGTAACGATCCGACAATCAGTTGCTGAGATCTACTCAAAACAAAAGAAGAATAATAATAATAATAAGAATAATAATTTTAACAAAAACAATAGTGTTTCACACAAGCTACGCAGTGTGAAACCCTAATAATAATAATAATAAGAATAATAATTTTAACAAAAACAATAGTGTTTCACACAAGCTTCGCAGTGTGAAACCCTAATAATAATTTTAACAAAAACAATAGTGTTTCACACAAGCTACGCAGTGTGAAACCCTAATAATAATTTTAACAAAAACAATAGTGTTTCACACAAGCTACGCAGTGTGAAACCCTAATTACTGGTTTACTGGAAGTGCTACATACACATACATTTACAAACAGACATGCAGACCGCCAGTCAGATAAAAAAAAAGAATCTTACTCATAATCCTGATTAATGTTTCCAATATTAACGTAGACTATGTAGTCGTTGTAATTCAGAGATAGTCCTGTGGCTGTATCTGCGTTAAATGTTACGGGGTCAACCGGTCTGTTACACAGTCCTGGAAACTGTTCATTAGGCACTGTATCTGGTGGGATTGCGATGGTTACTGAGCCGTCTTCTGCTCGGAATCTAACTTCGGGTCCATACCCTGTAAAACAAGGCGATATTATAGTAGGGTGAATTTCAGTTAAATCTAAATAATTATTATTCTCACAATTAATAAATTCAGTGCAATACTAAATGTTTAATACGTCGTGCGAATCCCAACAGTGTTGCTTAATTCAGTGAGCAATATTTTAATTACTCTTAATATACCTTAAAGTGCACATAAGATGGGTCTGGAAACTTTGAGATACGTGTAACCAATGGTTACTATATCCACTTTACGGCAAGTTCACACCAATCTGATTGAAATTAATTCAGCTATCTTCACTCAAAGTCGCAAAAATAGACCTCCCGTAAAAACGACTTTGCCAATTATCGAAAACACTCTTAATCCCCTCAGACGCCAGTGACGTCACAGTGACCGAATGCATATTCGGAATGATTATTCCTTAATTACCTATATACCGCTGGCGTGTATATTTATTAACGCTTGACTGACCCCTTAATCCCCTAATTAAATAAAACAATCGACTGCGGAATAATTTGTTTTGTAATTTATTTTAATTTAAGATCCTATTTATAATTTGTTTTATAATGTCCCGCCCTCTCTTCTCACAACAGCGATTTTAAAACTGTGTTTTAAAGTGACTTTTTGTTAAGAGCCACTCTACCACCGTGTGCAGTCCAAACGATTCGAAATATATTTCCGTCAGAAGAGTATTGTGGTTCTAATTTCCCCGAGTAAAAGAGTACAGAAGTAAAAGATGTGGTCGTGCAAAATGAATCATTAAAGTCAAACATGACTGAAACGTGATTTTTTAACGACGATCCGTAGCTCGATTTCCTGTAGTCATCGTACGGCGTCTTTCTTTCTGTATGTGGATTTGACTTCATTACTCTGAAATCGACGGTAAAAATGAAATAGGAACAAATATCTCAATATTATACGTTAGAATAAAGAGATTGAGAACGGTCATCTAACTATCTTTGTGTATTGATAAAGTGTACTGTCGTTAATATCTATCATTAATCAATCCGACTAAAGTTGCAGACATGGGACCATAAATTAATTTACATATCGATGTAGATAATGATTAGCGTTGCACACACATTTAATTAACAAGTAAAGATGTTGGATTAAGAATGCTGATTTGGTTATTATTAGCCCGCCCGATCAAAGACATCACTCTAGGTAGAACGTGTTAAAACTCCACGAACGAACGACACAAGTTACGGGGGAACTTTGCTGCAAACATTTCTCCACACCACAACTAATGGTTGAATCGTACATTACTCATCAGTTGTTTATAATTATTTTTTACCCAATAATCAATTAGATTTGTTCACCGATGTTTTTGTAATAAAGTAGCCTCGTATTATTTGTTGATTGGCGTTTAGACAATATTTAATGGACTTGATACGAAATCTGAATATAAATTATTCGATGCAATTGTCGCTCCAAAATTTAACGTCAGTTACTACGGCCGTAGTATGCATGGCACCGTACACGGTAATAAGATTCCCAGCGTTGATTGGCTGAGAAATGAGGGCGATCTATTGTTATGCATAGTCATTCAACAATTAAATATTCGCCGTGAATTTCAAATGGAGTTACGATATAAATTGTTTGTGTATAGAAATGCTTATTATAATTATATATAGCCAATAACGACAAATTACTGCCACTATTTGTATTTCTGTGCTTATATAGAGATAGTTTGGGAAATCAAATATTATCCAAATTACCGGTAAATGGGCTAATTGCTTGGGTCGTCTTCATCTGTCACGTGACCTTTTTAAACAAAGGACGCTTAAATTGGTCTACGGCATGATAAAGCATTTTAAATTCACTCGAAAATACTCCAATCACAAAAAGTCTAATTTATAACAGTACAAGACGATAATTCGGTGATTATGATTAGGCCAGTCACGTGTTAATTGGACCGTGATGTGTATATCAGAGATATACTGTACAGGTAGTGATATATTATGTATAGATAATGTATATAAGGGATCTTCCCATATCGCCGACTCACCGAATTCTGGAAAGTCGACCGCGGCACCCTTTGATGGGATCAAAACGGATTAAAAGCGTTAATGAGGCAGGGACCAGTCATTATTAATATAGTTCACTGAAATTGATTTTTATCAGAAGTCGACTCGCTCACTAATTAATAAAATTAATATAGTTCACTTAAATTACATGAACTTGAATTTTGTCAATTCAACTCACTCATTAATTAATAAAATAATAGGCTGCAGTTCAACATGAAGCTGACAGGTGATCGAAATTCAGTTCATTGTGATTATTTCTCATTGTTGTGCCCGACGTTTTCCAACAAACAGATAGCGGAGAACAGTTTTTATTTATCAGTGATGGTAACGATGAGAAAATTTTAGGATTTACCACACGACAGAATCTTGAGTCTTTGTGTGACTCGAATGTAATTTTTGGCGATGGAACATTTTATGTATGCCCACGAATTTTTTATCAACTATACGCCAGCCACGCACTGATTCAAGATCGTTCTGTTTTTACCTGACAAGAGAGGGTCGACATACCGGAGAGCAATAATATATAGATTGTTATAAATTTAAAAAAATAAAAATAAATGCTCCCAAAATTATCTGCTTAATGAGGTTTATCCTTCAGCTTGGGTCTATTGTTCTTGGCCACTCATTCCCATAACATCGACCAAAATTTTTCCCCTAAAACTCGGTGAGTCGGCGATATGGGAATGAACCGTATATACTATGTGTAGTGCCTGTGACGTTACCAGCCAATCAACCGGATTAAGGTCGCAATTGAAAAATTGAAAAGCGTTTTTGCGTGTCGGATACTCAAACGTTAAAAGCCGAATTAATTTTAATCAGATTGGCGTGAGCTTGCCGTAAAGTGGATATAGTAACTATTGGCTATACGTAGCGAAAAAGAAATTTGGCCATCTTATGTGGTCTTTAATTACCCCCATTATTTCATATTGTTTTATATGACTGAAATGCCCCCGACTTCTCGGCAATTTGGCATAGGTCCGTCGCACGAGTTACATAATATTAATGATCCTTGGAACATTTTCAACATCTTGACATCAAAAGTTCATTCGAAAACAGCAGATCTGATGATTTACCTGGAACTGTTTTTTGTGCGCAATGTTAATGATTTGGCGATATGAGCGAAAGTTCTTAAGAAACGCAAGTTTGAGCCGCCATCTTGAATCTTTGTGAAGCGTCCGGGGGAAGGATACATTACGTGACATTCAAAATGGCCGACGGATAGCCGACAATTTTTCCCAGGGGTAAACGAACAACAAACTTCTCTCTGGAAGACGAGATCGCTAATATGGCTGATCACGACTTCACACTATTTTTTTCGTAATCAATTCAAACGGACAATGAAATATTTTCAACACCTCAAAAAGGGACATTATGATCTCAACAATATGTTGATGAAATATTTAATTATAGATACATTCTCATTAATATAAAGCGGCCATTTTGATCTCCGGAAACACCCGAACCTCCCCAACCGGCGTACAATTAGCATCTTCCGTGAACAATAGCCAATATTCGAAATTAAGGAATGGAATGTTTGTAAACGAAAATCGTGCTGTACTTCAATTATGTATTAACCAATTTTATGTAATAATTGTTTATGTATGTTAAATACAAAAACTTTAGTGGTATCAATATTGACAGTTTAGTTCGTTAATTGAAGTACAGCAAGAATTATCGTTTACAGTAACATTCCATTCCTAGATTTTGAATATTGGCTAAGCACAGCCACGAACCTGTGACCTCCGGTCTGCACAAGCGCGAATTTAATCATGGCAGACCAATTCAAACGAATTTGTTTGTGTTTTTGAATCCCACAATTCTACAAAATATTGTTGATTTGTCCTAAATTTTCTGAGCAAGTATGTCGGACTGTCTGTGTTGGCATGCCGGGCCTAATTCCTTGAGGGCCCTAGCACTGAACCCGACACAGCTTAGGTAGTATCAGATAAATACTGCAATTGAAAACAATTCAACACTTATTTGACATAATTATTATATTTTGGCTATGTGTGATGTATTTTCGAAAGGATTGGTGTGTGGGTGTGTGTGTGTGTGTGTTGGAGTGGGTGGTGGAGGTCGAATCCGCTAGCCCCACCCAACAATGACGATGGCTACGCCACTGCTCACTGCTTAAATGCCTAATGTGGTTACATTATTTTAGAAATTTTAAAATACCTTGAATATTAACCACTGTTTGACCGTTTGGTGCATCACGTGTAACGTCAACTGCCAATGACTGATTTACAAAATTGGTAATCTTTTGATATGGGGCAGCATTATTCTGGAATAGAAAACAAAGAGAAAATGCTAAACCTATACTCGCCGATAGGCATTCATCGATAATTCCGTCATGTTTGGATTTCATCTCGGGCAACCCAAATATACGAGCGGGCATTTCCCAATCAATTTTCAATACTGAATAATCTTCGCTGAATCGGGCATACTTCATGGGAGAGAGAGAGAGCAATGGGGTTTAACGTCCACTCGACACAAACTAGGTCATTTCGGGACTAACATATGGTTTAATTTTATTTCAATAATTCGCTTGCGCATAGGGGTCTTTAGCAGTGGGAGGAAACCGGAGGACCCGGAGAAAACCCACGAGGTTGGACAGGCGACCCTACTCCTTGTCACGTACAACCGGGGATTCGAAACCACGCCAGTTGACTCAATGACAGACTTTATGATACAGCGCGCGCACGCTAACCATTCAGCCATCCAACCCCCCCATACTTCATGGTAACATCACCAAACAATCTCAGAAAACGACGTAAAATTTGCCAGTGTCTACCATTTCATGCATATGGAAAAATATATATTCCACCACACACACACACACACACACCCACACACACACACATATATATATATATATATATATATATATATATATATATATATATATATATATATATATATATTCTCTTTTGCAATGAATAAGTTCTTAATTTCTAAATCATCAATAAAAGAGAATTAAATTTTATTTACTTGTAATATACCCAACTAAAAACAGTTGTTTATGTAACTGTAACTCGTTGTTTACTGTACTCCAAACAATAGAGGATACGAGTCTTAAGATTTCTGGATTTAAATTGAGTCTTAAGATTTCTATTTACTTGCCTTACTATAGACACTCTGGATTTAAATTCGTTGTTAAATTGGACAATATTTTTTTTATACAACTTTTACAAAGTACAATTGTGTGCCCAAATTTTCCCAGCATTTGGTGCCCAAAATGGGGGGGCGGCCGCTCCCTCAGCTCCACCCCCCCCCCAGCTCGTACGCCTATGATTGTGTACACCAATAGAAGACACAAAGGTGCGACGACCATTGACCCGATGTGCTAAAGCAATAAATATGTAGATTTATGTGGATTTAGTTAGTTTTGGTATTTGGGGGGATTTTCACGGGTAGCAGAATTTGCCAAAATCCACACAAATCTACGCAAACCACCCATTTCCACCATTATTTCAACTTAAAAGAAAAATAATTTTTATCGATATTTGATAATAATTATACTGTTCTTTTCACGTCTAATTTACAACCGTAAATTGCATTTTCAGGGGCATTTTTGAAACAAAAACGTTTTGATTTTAAATTAAAATGCCAATTTGGCATACACAACAGTATATTATTATTATCAAATATACTCTTCAAATAAAAAAGAAACGGAAAGTGACATGTCGTCGTCGGTATACCCTCGCTCTAAATAATAATTTAACGGCTAGCGCTTTCTGTTCGTACTGAACATCTTCAGGCCATTTTTATTTATGAAAGATGACCAAGATATATATCATTATAGTTGAAATAATGGTGAAATTGGGTGGTTTGTGGTGAATTGTGCGACCGCATTTGGGACATTTTCACTCAGTTGTGAATATGGCGGGCAACCATCACTGAATCGGTTGCAAAAAAATATGTTCTACCTGTGTGTAACAAAATAGTTACGTTATAAGGCGTATGTTACAATACATTTTGAAGAGAACCCATCTGATACTGGTCCAAAATGCCCTTATTGCAGTCATTTGTGACAAGTCAAGGAGGTTGATAGTATGTGTAGCACAATAAAATGTTCGCACCTTGCCCCTCTAGTCGACACACCCACCCCATACGTCCCGTTACTAGTTTAACTACCATATCTCCTGACATCTATTATATATGCTAGTTTGAACTTACCCAACAACCATTTGTGTCACAACGCAACACTATTTCGTTGTTATCAAAAGTAAATAGTCTAATTAACAGGGCAACAACCATTATTTGTGACGCATATCTGGCTTGGTAAACTTCTTTGGTTATGGCTGTTATTTGGTAATTTAAATTTTTCTGTGGGGGTGCTCTTGGAACATCACCTTCAGACAGAATCTGGGTGCATGGAAAATATATGGCAGAGTCCTCGTGATTGAATGTTCTGATGTGTGGATCACCCATCATTGTGCAAATATGCATTGTGTCTGAAAAAGAATGGAAAGGATATGTGGTTTACAAATAAAGCTAACTTTCTTTGACAACAATGTAAACATTTCCTGTTCTGATGTCTATAAGCTTCCTCTTTGAATAAGGTTAAAATAAAGTATCGAATTGGGTTGATCTGGTATGGGGCAACGTCTACTATACGATTCAGTTTTTGTTTTGGAGAATTTAAGCGGAAGACTACATATTTTAGTTTTACCATGTCGACAGTGGAGCACAAAACCGATTACATAGAATTTCAGCGAGTACATAATGCCGTTCTATATATCAGATAAAATGCAAATGAAATCGACAATTTTATTTTAAACGAAAAATATTTTCATAATGGCCAACAGTTAAAATCTGTACTAGGATTTCGAAGCTCAGCGAATAAAATGGCTGTATTCTCAAAATATTTTATGAATAAGGCCCCAGATTTCCCTAATGAACAGAAACAAGAAGTGATGTCATGTCTTTATTTTCCTATTAACGATTTCTTATTGAAGATTCGCTTGGCCTGTTTATTTTTTACAATTTTTTTGTCTTTATTGTTATGAAATCTTGTTTTTAATTACCCCCCCCACCCCACCACCAGAAAAATCGTTCTCTATGGTCAAATATTAACCGTAATGTATTACCCGTTATTGCCATTGCAACCCTAATTTCTAGAGATCATGAGGACAGAATCGATCGGCTGTATGCATACTCTGGGCAGCAAATATTCCAGAAGGTCAAATATCGATGTACTATTTGAACCAGCCTGTATCTGTCCCAAAGCTAAAAATGGCGATGTTTGTAGTAACAGGACAAATTTGTTCATTTTGTACGTCACATTGCTTCTCAAATTTCAAATTATCCGTCTGAAAATGATTTACACTAATCGCTTCAATCTTCAACGAGATCACAGCACATAGACGGCTCTACTTAAAATTAAGAACGATATTGACCTGGCAATGGATAAGAATCTAGCTGTGCACCTAGTTCTTTTGGATTTCAGTGCTGCTTTTGATACTATAGATCATAGTATTCTATTTCAAAGGCTGGAATGTTTAGTTGGGATCTGTGGTGTCGCACTGTCATGGATAAAGGCATATCATTCAAGATAGAATACAACAGGTGCAAAAAAGATAAAATCCAAATTTTAGTAATTTTATTGGATAATATTAGATTGATTTTAGTGCTTAGCCAATCAAAATTAAAGTATCTACTAAAATTTGGATTTTATCTTTAGTTAAGATTTCGAGAAACAGGCCACAGACCTGTGTCTCAACCCTGTGCTGTTATAATAGGTGTTCCGCAAGGATCTGCATTGGGACCTCTACTTTTTGTCTTATACATTCTTCCAATTGGTCAAATCATAAGAAGACATGGGGTACAACCCAAAAGATATAATAATATTCACTACAGCCTAGCAGAAAACGCCTCTCATCAATTCCAGATAAAAAATAAACGAATGTATAAGAAAACATAGAACTGATTTATATATGAATGACTCGCAATACATTCCGGGGACCGCGGTTGCTCAGTAACTAAGATAGTAGCGCACTGGGGTTTTTTCCGTCACGATTTCCACTGGTTCGTGGTGCAAGAACGAGTGTCAAGTCGTCGGGACGTGACGAAAAATCGCGGTTCCATACACACTGGCTTGCACGTAAAGGAACACTTGCCAGTTAGAATTCGATATAAGAGTAGGCCGCAGCGCCGCTATCTGGGCAAAAAATCCTTCATCGAACATTATGGCGTATCCCCGCCTGTATTAGTGTGTACAGAAAAGTAGAACGTTAAACCCCATTTCATTTTGCAATGCATTCCACGCCTGTTATGATCATTCAAAAATCTAGTAGCGCGACTCTTTATACACTTCAAGTTTTCTTGTTTGACTAAATATACTACACTTACCGATGACACACCTAAGTCGGGCATTTCCAATATAACCGGGCCTACATTGACATGTATTGGTAGTCGTATTACAAAATACGTTCACGTCATTAACGCATTTATAATCACCACATTGCACACCTGTAACAGATATAAGAATGTTTCTTTGTGGATTAAGACATAATAAAGTATTGCATAAATGGACAAAGCACACAAAAAATTCAACGAATACAGCAGCAATATTACATTTACATATCGAATTTCCAAGGAAAGACATAACATTGTGATCGCATAAGACTCTGCTAACACAAAAGGATGCAGATTAAATTCAAACTTACCATCGAAGGAATGAACCACGATTGGTGATACTAGCAAGAATATTGCTAACTGCCACATTGTGTAATTTTATTTCTGTTAGTTGGTGGTTGGTTTGTAGTTGAAATGCATGGTTTAGTGTTCGTAATTTCTTATATAGGAAAAACTTTTCAATACATTTGAATATATCGACACCTTTCGACGGGAAACCAATGATATATTATGCATTACCAGCTGCTCTAATGATACGTGCATATTTACATTTTTTAGTCAACAATATTGACAGTTCAAAAACTAGAAAACAATAATGAAACATAAAGGTGACGTTGGTGGACCATATATATATACACAAAAAAAAATGGTGTGTGTGTGGGGGGGGGGGGGGGGTCTTTGACTTACTCTCAGGGAAATGCATAAAAAATTAGTGAGTAAGGAGCTGGCTCGCTAACCAGTGGAGGAGGGCCCAGGTTCCATCCCGTTGGTGCCAAAGAAACTTCCTTGGGATTTTCCGATGTGGTTTTGCCTTGTCAGTGGTGCAGGATATGAGACCTGACAAGGGACAGAGTCTAGTGGTTGGAGGGAACACGTTGGCATGCACGTAAAAGTGCCCTTTGCTGGTGGTATTCAAATTAAGAGTAGGCCGTAGTTTGACTGTAAAAGTGCATGGTGTATGCCCGAGTAGCAACACAAGACCAGAAACAACATGAACACACATGGTGAGAGAGATGCCGGCTTTTGACTACCTCGACAACATTTCCAAAGTGATTACATATATACTTCAATATCAGGGTTTTTTTCAGTGCATGTAAAAACGCGAGAATTGTGATACTCATAATTTTTGTAACATCATCGCCAATATAAAACAATTAATGTTACCCAGGCCTTTATGTAATAACCACGCCATTAGTGCCACAAAACATCTACTCTGAACTGATCATTTTTGTTAAAGCCCTGGCCATTTCTACAAAAGTGATCATTGTAGTCTTTGTTGACAAAAATATCTAAACATTTTTGTACTATCTGGATCACATTGTCTCTCTGATATGTCCATTTTCTCAGAGCAAATAGGACACAATGCATCAATATCTAGACAAGATAAGGCCAACCAGCTCTTTATTCGATGTTGTTAATTCTTAGGTCTTAATTCATAGTCCTTAATTCTTACTAGAGTTTAGTACTGTACAACTTTTCAAGTTATTTACCGGCACATTTATATTTACATACCTTGTAAAAAGATCAAAGTTTCACGATACTACACTTTATTAAATGAATTGGGGGTGGGGGTGGGGGTATTTAAAGCCAAAGAAATTCGTAATATCGGTTCATATACTGCTGAAAAGTGTGTTTAATGCTTGCTATAAAATGTAGATTATTTTCTGGCACATTTGCATTTACATACCTTGAAAAAAGAACAAATATGAATGGCACACACATGTTTTAAATGAAAGGGGGGGGGGGGGGGTATTTAACAAGAATTACAATATATTATCGGGGGGTGCAAAATTGCAAAATATATTCTGACATTTTCAAATTTACGTACCTTGTTAAAGCAGGTATAATTTGGATCGTCTGAACTCTATTTAAAGATACATTATGGCAGATTAGATAAACAGCTGGCAGTTCTCGCTATAATAGTTAAAAACTAGATAATGTAAAGGCAATTTGCTCAAAATTTCAGTCAAATTGATCCACTCTGAACAGAGATTTTAGCGATTGAATTTTCGACCTAGCCTCGATCATCATTACTAAAGTCGGTACGATAAAAAAACATAGTCTCGATTATCCATTTCATGATTAAATCCGATTCGCGACATAACCCCAATTTCGCCCACGAGAAAACTTGCTATAGAGAACGAAGCGGAAGTGTATTCTAATTTTGATTGCAGGTGGCATTAGGGCCGGATTAAGCATGCATGGGCTCCTGGCTGAAAATGTTACTGTGGCATCAAAAATGAGAAGGGAGCATATGGTAGATTGCCAGGGTGGTATATAAAGAGATCTATTTATTTGACACAAATTTATACAACATAATAAATGAGATATTTATTTATAACTGATTTAGGGCCGTTTACCAATTTTGAGTCCCTTTAATATTTGGGGCCACATCCACAACAGCTACTACGGTTCACACCCGCTGACGCAAAGCAGATTTAGGGAGAAATAAAACAGCACTTATTAATATACAGAAATTTATTTTGATTTTCAAATATAAAAAAAATTAAACATATTTTTTAATATAATATAGGCGCCGTACACTACTCGTATAAGTTTCAATAAACGTTTATGACAACCAGTCGAGTTCAATAAAATGTACGATTTTTGTTTATGGTCTACGGCCACAACTAATATTCTATGTTTGTTCAGGAAACGAAAATCATGCCGGTCAGAACTTGAAACTGAAAACATAAACCGGTTTGTAAATAAATTATTCAATACAAGTACGAATTAAATAATGCATATATAACGAAACCATCAGATTAAAGTTGTAATTTTATTATCGTCTGCAAGTTTTACCATACCTTTGGTGATTTCTGGACCGATAAAGTTGATGATCTTAAATTTGGATTTGGCAGTTTCATTTGAATAAGCGTTACATCCATTCAAATCCATTGATTTCCAGCTGCATCAAGGTTCACGGGGTGCACCCTTTTCCCGTGATTCCCTAAGCAGAAGCATCAGAGGTGGGCCAAGGCTCTGATGAGAGATCATCCATATTCAGAAATAGTTAATCTATCATTACCATATCTAGCTGCCGGTCTGCGACAATCAATAGAAGCTCAGAGCCACATATAAAATGAAAACAAACGTAATATAATAAATAGAACGTCTAAGATGTTATTTCTTAAAATAAGAAGAAATAAAATCTGTAATTAATATTTGCTTCCTTTGAGCCATCATTTCATGTCATCTTTGACTAACATCTAATTTGAGAATATTAGACCATTTCAAGTCCTAATGTGTGGTGGCTCATCTGGAGCGCGATCGCGAGGGCCTTGGCCCGTAGTGCACTGTCGAGTACAACCGATTGGGGTTCGGACAGTAAATAACTAACCCAGTTAACTTTTAAAAAGTCGTCAAATCTTTTTTTGTTTTTTGCAGCAGCTTTTTGCAACAATCGGAAGAAATGCATTTTAGAGTAATAAAGCCCATGACACAGGCGGGGTCGCATCAATTTTGCCATTCACCCACCCTCAATGCTCCCTCTGAGAATGATGAAAACCTTAGAGATTGTAAATGACTCCCGAGTTCCATATAGACCTGTCATATAACCACGTACTGACTGCAACGGGGTATAGTTATATGCTTTCAGTATTCCCAGGTCCTTAGCAGTAATGTTAGAAGTACTGGGGCCACACAATTGGAGTGTTTATCTTCGTTGTACATTATTCTACACTGGAATAATACAAACCTGTATTCGTGGTACATTATTCTACACTGGGATAATACAAAACTCTATTCTTTTCGGTTGGTATAATGATTTCGTAACCGGAAGCAATAAGACCGTAACTTATGATTCTCTATTACTTTTACGTCTTGTTATTTCAGTGTCACAAAAGACAAAGGATTGCTAATATACTTTAGTTATATCCCTGTAATTGTGGTTTGGATAAACTAGTTTTATCATACTTTACCTAGTGTTTATTTTCAAATATATTTTCGTTTGTTTACTTTATATGAGACCATACTTTGGTTTTTGTTTGTTTTTATGTCGTTTATATTTACACTATAGTGAGCGCAAACAACGTCTTTGTGTTCTACTGACCAGACTTGACCACCTGATTTAGCCAATGAAAGGATATATTTTCTTGAGCAATCCTGGTTTTAGTCAATCTGTTTAAAACACAGATCGTTTTACATAGTTCAAAATTTCGTTTTACTTGTCTGTACTACACTAGGATCTGGAGGAGTTGTTATCATTGACGTGTTCTGGTTGATGTGAGGGATTAGCCAATGAAACGGTCTGTTACGGCGAGCTTTTGGCGTGAGGTGCACGGAACTGTGGGTAATCCACCAGTAACATCAATGCTGATTGGTTAATCAAATGTCTGACGTCATAGAGTCAAAAGCCGTTCGAATGACCTTTGACACGACCTCCCAGTAAAACTGGTCAGATCTTCATGTAGTGTAGGCCATCGAAAATATAAAAAAAAAGGAAACGAAATATAGATCTGTATTTTAATCAGATTGGGTTTTAGTCAAACACAGGGTTTCTGGTCAAACGATAAAGGTAACAGATGGCGGCTACAGAAGAAGTAGTCAGATCTTATGTATAATAGACAAACACTATATCCAAGTCGAAGTAAAGATTCATATACTTCATAGGACAAGACACTTTCTGATCAGTGATTCTTCGAGAATAAATTTTGTGTTCTTGTCGCCGTTATGAATGTGCAAGAGAGCCCCAGTCATAACATCGTAATCAATATAGATGATACAAAATGTCTCACAAATTGGGATTTAATGAAACGAAAGTTTACAAATTTACACACAGGTAGGTATATGACTAATAGACTGAACGGTGGACATCCAACAAATATACGTAACTATAAAACTACAGTTAGACGCCAAAACGTTGGAATAAGACAACATCATTGTAGTGTCCTGAATTAACAAACGAAACCCAATCAAGTGCTTTTGTTGAAATTGAAATTTCAATTCGAATTATACTTGGTTTCTTCAATTTACAGCCGATTTTTAGAAATTCTTTAGAAATAACATTAAATTTATTATCGATATTATTGGTATATATTCATATTAAGGTGAATATTATTTAAGAATTATTGATCGATCAATGACATTGATTGATAAGAAAATAGATATTTAGACATATTGATAAATATTTTAACATTATATATTGAATGTGTTCTCGTCATCAATAATTTTATAGCGTCCTTGGTAAATTTTGAGAACTATTTTAACATATTATATTGAACGTGCTCTCGTCATCAATAAAAAAAATAGCGAACTTTCATTGCAAATTCAATACAAAAGTAGTACGCAATTTGCGCCAGTCCTATTGTTCTTGGAAAAGGTAAACTTTGAAATCATGGTTTTTCGTCACCGGAATGAGTTACTTAATATTTTGAGCTGGAAGAGGTCACGGGTTCCACTATGGGCACACCCGAGAATCAAACCGGGCACAGGTAATTCTTTGTGGACTTCGACACTGTAATTCCAACTCGTCATATCCCAGTCAATGAAGATGCAAAAGTCGAATGAATAAGATTGCTGCGCCTTATGTTCTGTGACCAAGGTCGTGCGGAATGAGCTAATGGCTTAGTAAGGTATGTATGTGCATTTTCATAACGCAATTGGCGACATTTTTCACAACAGCAATCTGGTTAAAGGGAGATGAATTTTCGATTCTATATTTAACCATTTTTGAATTTACTTTAATCTAAAACGTGCTTACATATCATAGAACAGAGGTTTAGCATAGACATCATGATTTTCAAGCACAAACTTTATTCAGTATTTGAAATATGTCTACTTTCCAGCAAACTAATATATGGAGTTTTCTTTTAGTTTAGAATTAGTATTTTGATTACCAACTCTTGTATTCTAAAATTAGAATTCAGCAGATGACCACAGTGGAGACCGGTGGAATTTGTTTTCATTTTGAGTGCATCCTGTACCATTACAGACCCGGGATTGTTAAATCAAAGTTCGCTCATCTGTAACAAAATTGCCCAAGTTTCGTTGGAACTGAAACTAGGGTTCGCTTTTTGGATTGTGATCATAATGCCGCATTACTTCTACTGTGTCTAATGAACACTGATATTTTATGGCAAGCGTAGGCATTTTTCTTTATGCAATGTCCATTTGCCTCGTTATATAGTAGGCATAGCTTTAATTTATGAGATGTTGCCTGGAATAAACTCCCCACCCCTCCATATATCCAGTTTACGACTGGATACTACTCACGTAAGGGACTTATTTTCGGGCAAATAACCTACCAGACCGGATTCATTCGATGAATGTCGAAACGTACTACTTTCGGGTTTGGTTGACAAAATTAGAGTGGATTAGTTCCATGGATATCGTTTACTACTTTAAGTATGGTATTTGACTAACGGAGAAGGAAAGGGAGAAATGGGGTTTAACGTCCACTCGACACAAACTGGATCATTTTGGGACTAAAATATGGCTTAATTTTATTTCAATAATTCGCTTGTGCGTAGCTGCGTAGGGTGTTTAGCAGTTCGAAGAAACCGGAGGACCCGGAGAAAACTAACGAGTTTGGACAGGCGACCATACTCCTTGTCACGCACAAGCGGGGAGTCAAACCACAAAACGTGACTCAATGACAGACCGTGTGATCTAATGTGCACTTGTTAAACCATTCGCCCCAACCCCCTTTGTCTCACGGACATCCGTAGACTTTGGCTCGCCGATAGACCCAAACCGATAGCTAATGTATTAGTGGACTGTAGAGTCATACTATAAAAGAAGAAACTCGTCTTCACTTGATTTATTAATATTTATTCATTCTTAAATGTCCCCTTGGAGTTATTTACCAGGAGGAGGAGGACATCCAGTAGGAACAGCGTCAACTCCACAAGCAGCAGCAACATTATTACAATATTCAGTTGGAACGTTTAAACTACAATGATCTGCATGGCACCTGTTGAAATCCCACAACACAGCACTACCATTCTGGTTTCTGTAACTGTAGTAGCATTCCTTGGTGGCTTGGTTAGTAAAGATATCAGCACATGTTATCACAGAATCCCTCTGTCTTGTTGCTTGTGGGTCACACGGTTCGCTATAAAGTGTCCGACACTGATCATCATTTCTGTAAATACAGATAATGTAGAAACAATGTACACTGAATCAATTTTTATCAGTATACTTAATAGACGCAACATTTATAAAGAAACATATACCTTTAACACAGTACTTGCAGCTATATACTTGCCTGGAATCAAATTTGGGAAAGCTTGATATAAAGCGCTTTACCTTATCAAATGGCTCTCCTCGTCTAATCAGTTTCCTTGGTTTTAATGCAGTAAATAATGTTCAAAATGAGCAGCTTTTTCATTAAAAAAATATCAAAGGAAAGGCGTAATACAGACCAGATTGGATGGAAGACGTTTCAGGGGAACGGTTTCCTGTTTCTTAATCAAGTTTCATTGCGTCATTTGAGCGCAATAGGAATCATAGCTGTACGCGTCAGGGGGAGGGGGGCTGCCCTACCCCCTAACTTTCGGGCAATCTATCTTTTCGGGCAGAGGGGTAAATTGAAAACAAAAATATTATTTCATCTAGTTGGCAAAATAAAGTGCTCGAAATCTAATTTTACTTTTCTTTTAATTGAATACCACGAATTTATACTAAATTGACTATTGATTAAAACATTTTGTCTGGAGCCACTCTACTTTGTGCGAAATTTTTCGGGCAACAATTATTATTTGTGAATGAAGCTGCAACAGTCCGATTAGATGGTTGCATCCGGATCGGGGGTCACAGTGGCTAAGTGGGTACGACGCTGGCTTGCTAGGCTGGAGGTCAGGTGTTCGATCCCTGCATTGGCCGAGAAAGTTCATCCAGATTTTCTGGCGTGGGTCCCCCTTGTCAGTGATGCAGGACGGAGGGCCTGGCAAGGACAGCTGTGTAGTCGTTCGGATGGTACGAAAAACCGAGGTCCCGTGTCCATATTGGCGTGCACGTAAAAGATCCCTTGACAGTTGGAATTCAATGTAAGAGTAGGCCGTAGTGCTGCTGTCCGGGCAAAATTTCCCTCATAGCACAATGTATGGCGTATGCCCGTCTTCATTAGCCCAATTCGGAGTAGAACAGTAGGACTTAAACTCCATTTCATTTCATTTCATTGGCATTCGGGTCGTCATAGAGTGGGAATTCGGTTGTAAAACGATTGGAAACTCTGCAGTTGCTTAACTCACAGACTAGAATAGCAGAAAAACGCATTGGTTGGTTGTTTGGGATTCAGGTCAGCACCTAAGGTAGGCTATATTGGACCGAATTGAGGTTGCTGTATTCACGGACTGAATATCCCGATTGCTTGATTGATTGGAATTCGAGTCGGCTATATTAGACCACTTGCTGATTTCACGGGCTAGAATAGTAGGACAACGCATTTGCGTCCATCAAATTTTCGTGTACGTGTGTGTGTTGGGGGTGAGGGGGAGGGAGTCCTCAGACAGTAAGCTCTCGCAGACACTCGGCGAGAGCAAGGATTCGAAAATCAAGAGCAGTAAGTCAGTGATTAATTATCTGAAATACATCAATAGAAATCCACACGTGTTAGCCCATTGTCAATACATTATACTGATGATAAAAGATTTAAAAGTACATGTGAAATTAGAATGAAAAGATAAAACCGTGAAACAATTTTGAACAGGAATAAACGAAGGTGTAGAGTTGATTATGGGTTTGTCTTGTGAATAAATAATAATTTATATAACATTTGAGGCCAAAAGAAAGATCTGCAATAGGCAGATTTAGCTCTTACACAACGAATCTGTATTCATTGTTCAATTAAGATGATGTTGATGATTTATTAAAGATGGATTCCCGCGTACAAACTGGGTGATTTAATGGTATATATGGACTAAAAACATATTCAAACTAATTAATTTGTCATAATTTTGCTTCAAATCCTTCTCAAACATTGTAATTGCGAAGGAATGTCCTGCTATAAAAATTCGATCAAACCAGGTCATGTTTACGTCACGTGACTTACCTCTCTTGGAAGTCAGAGGAGAATTCATTGCATACATAAGACGATGTTGTCTTTAATCGCTTACTATTTATTACAAATATCGAATCCTAATTAAATTCTCGGATTATCCTTTGGCATCACGCGTGCAGAAATTCCTAATCGCCGGGCTATCGATTAGGGGAACCCTTACATTTTTGTCCTGTATACGCTCCATGAGTGTTTTTCGGGGAATCCAGTATTTTTCTAGTAAGATTGGAAATCTCTACTTTCCATATATACCAAAATTACCATACTTTTATTGGAATTAACCACCCGATAAATACTTTTCTGGGAACCCATCTTTAATCTTCAAGTAGTTTAGGCTATTTTGTTGGGGTGCCTTATAGGCAAATTAAGACAGTAGGAATATTGGCCTGTATATAAAAAAAACTATTGTCAAATATGGATATGTTTTGATGGGAATAAAAGTGGAAGTGGTGTCCAAAGATTTGAAAATAAATTAACGTTCACTCAACACTAACCAGGTCATTTGGGGACTAACCTATGCTATTTTAATAGATAGCCCACAGGAGCTGCCTTCCCTTCAGAAATGCACCCATTCATTCAAAAGCACAAATTGCCACTAACTCTGAATTTTGCAAGTAGTAAATAGGTGGTGATTGCTTCATAGTTTTTACTGTACACACTTACCTACCTCCCCTCCCTACTAACAAATCAATGTTACCTAACTCTATACCTGGCCCGATGTTCACTGTACGTACTACACGTATACGACTACATGTTCATCATCATACAACTAAATACGAGTGGTGGACAGATTTTTAATCAGAGTACAATCGTGTAATTACCGTTCATTATGCGACAATTGATCCCCGAATGAAGTGCATGCAGTACGATCAACATATTGGTTTCTCCGCTTTAGCGAGGCACATAGATAAAAAAAAATAATCTTACTCGAAATTATTATCGATGTTTCCAATATTAACGTAGAATATGTAGTCGCTGTATTCCAGAGATAGTCCTGCAGCTGTATCAGCGTTGTATGTCACGGGATCGATTGGTTGGTTACACAATCCTGGATTCGCGGGATTAGGCGATGCATCTGGTGGAATTACGATAGTTACAGAGCCGTCTTCAGCTCGAAATCTAACTTCGACTCTGTACCCTGAAAAAAAGATGTATATTCGGTTCATTTTCGAGGAGAATTTATCGAATCACTAAGTCGCAGCCAATAAGTAAACCTACGGTATTGCCTGGATACCTTTCAATACGGTTGCAACCCCATGACCAATAAGAAAATTTTTTAAATAATACCTTGAACATAAACCACAGTTTGGCCGTTTGGTGCATCACGCGTAACGTTAAATATCAATGATTGATCGGCATAATCGGTAATCTTCTGATAGGGAGCAGCATTATTCTGGCAAAGATAAAAAAAAAAAACAATATAAGGCTGTACCACAGCGATAGGCATCGCGTATTGGCGTCCACTTCCGGGCAGATCGTCGAACATTGTTGGGGTACAATAGTTTTTATACACCCACATTTCCATGTGGACGTATAGTGTCGTCGCCCCTGTCCGTCCGTCCAAAGTTTGTTTGTGGATACTCTACAGGTAACAATTTTTATCAGTTCCTTTCGATATTGGAATGTATCGGACCATAACTTCATGGATTATGGCCCCTGATTGTACGAAAAATCACATTTTTAGCTCGTGGACACTCTAGAGGTCACAATTTTGATCCGATTTTGATGAAATTTGAAATGCACGTTTATAACCCAAATATCTTGTTTCTTTTCGATATTCGCACATATCAGATCGTAACAATTTTTATCCGATTTAAAAAAATAACGTTTTAGTATATCACCGTTACACCCTAATGATGGTTGAGTTCGAATTTAGGGAAAATCGGACCCAAACTGTCAGACAAAATGGCTGCCCCTTGTACGCAAATAGTGTAAACATCTTGTATATCAAGGTTGTGGACCTCCGGTTGAGGTCACAATTTTGATCCGATTTTGATGAAACTTGAAATGCATGTTTATATCCCAAAGATCTTGGATCCTTTTGATAGTGGCGCATATCGGATCGTAACATCCTTAATTATGATCCTTGATTGTACGAAAAATCGCGTTTTGAACTTGTGGCCCCTCTAGAGTTCACACTTTTTATCCGATTTAAAAAAAAAAAATAGTTTTATTATATTACCGTTACACCCTACTGATGGTTGAGTTCGAATTTCGTGAAAATCGGACCAAAACTGCCGGACAAAATGGCCCTCCCTTGTACGCAAATAGTGCAAAATATGGTATATCAAGGTCGTGGGCCCTCTAGAGGTCACAAATTTTATCCGATTTTGTTGAAACTTGAAATGTAAGTTTATATCCCAAAGATCTTGTTTCCTTTTGATATTCGCGCATATCGGACCGTAACTTCCTGAATTATGGCCCCTGATTGTACGAAAAATCGCGTTTTTAGCTTGTAGACCCTATAGAGGTCATAATTTTTATCCGATTTAAGAACCGTAGTATTATATCACTGTTACATCCTAAGGACGGCTGAGTTCGAATTTCGTGAAAATCAGCCCAAAATTGACAAACAAAATGGCCGCCGTTCGTTCTCAAATAGCGTAAAAATATGGCATATCAAGGTTGTGGACCCTATAGAGGTCACAATTTTTATCCGATTTTGTTGAAACTTGAAATGTAAGTTTATAACCCAACGATCTCGGCTACTGTCGATATTCGCGCATATCGGACCGTAACTTCCTGAATTATGGCCCCTGATTGTACGAAAAATCACGTTTTTAGCTTGTGGACCCTATAGAGGTCATAATTTTTATCCGATTTAAAAAACCGTATTATTATATCACCGTTACACCCTAAGGACGGCTGAGTTCGAATTTCGTGAAAATCGGCCCAAAATTGACAGACAAAATGGCCACCGTTCGTTCTCAAATAAGGTAAAAATATGGTATATCAAGGTTGTGGATCCTATAGAGGTCACAATTTTTATCCGATTTTGTTGAAACTTGAAATATAAGTTTATAACCTAAAGATCTCGGTTCCTGTCGATATTCGCGCATATCGGACAGTAACTTCCTGAATTATGGCCCCTGATTGTACGAAAAATCGCGTTTTTAGCTTGTGGACCCTATAGAGGTCATAATTTTTATCCGATTTAAAAAACCGTATTATTATATCACCGTTACACCCTAAGGACGGCAGAGTTCGAATTTCGTGAAAATCGGCCAAAACTGACAGACAAAATGGCCGCCGTTCCTTCTCAAATAGCGTAAAAATATGGTATATCAAGGTTGTGGATCCTATAGAGGTCACAATTTTTATCCGATTTTGTTGAAACTTGAAATATAAGTTTATAACCCAAAGATCTCGGTTCCTGTCGATATTCGCGCATATCGAACCGTATCCGATTTAAAAAAAATAGTTTTATTATATCACCGTTACACCCTACTGATGGTTGAGTTCGAATTTCGTGGAAATCGGACCCAAACTGTCGGACAAAATGGCTGCCCCTTGTACGCAAATAGTGTAAACATCTTGTATATCAAGGTTGTGGACCTCCTTGAGGTCACAATTTTTATCCGATTTTGTTGAAACTTGAAATGTAAGTTTATAACACAAAGATCTCGGTTCCTCTCAATATTTGCGCAGATCGAATTGTAATTTCCTGAATTATGGCCCTTGATTGTAGGAAAAATCCCTTTCTTTTTAGCTTGTTCTCTATCCATCTCTCGAAAATATCTTGTGGAACTCTTGGGGTGAAAAGCTCCACACAAATGCCGCCAAACCTTGCCATAGATGCCGAATTTTGATCAGATTTTGATGAAACTTGAAATGCATGTTTATAACCCACAGATCATGGTTCCTTTCGATATTTGCGCATATGGGATCGTACCTTGATGAATTATGGCCCTTGATGTTACGAAAAATCGCGTTTTGAGCTTGTGGTCCCTATAAAGGTTACAATTTTTATCCGATTTAAAAAAACCAAAAAAACAAACGTGTGAATATATCACAGTTATACACTAATGATGGTTGCGTTCGAATTTCGTGAAAATCGGACAAAAACTGACGGACATAATGGCCGCCCCTTGTACGCAAACAGTGTAAAAATATGAAGGTTGTGGACCCTCTAGAGGCCACAGTTTTTATCCAATTTGGATAAAACTTTAAAGATATGTTTTTATCATAAAGATCATGGTTCCGTTTGATAACCACACATATCCAAACGTAACTTCCAGGATTATGGCCCCTGATTGGTCGAAAAATCGCAATTTTAGCTTGAGGATTTTCTAGAAGTTACAATTTTTTTTTCAGATTTTAAAAACCGTTTAGATATATTACCATTCCACCATAATAAAGGTTGAATTGGAATGTCGGAAAATCGAAATGAAAATGCCCGACAAAATGGAAGCTCTTTGTACGCAAATTGTGTATAAGTATGTAATAGAAAGGTTATGGCCCCTTTAGAGGTCACAATTTTTATCCGATTATGATGAAACTTAAAACATATCAGTCCAGTCCCTTTGATATTTGCGCATTTCAGATCATAACTTTCTTGATTATGGCCCCTCATTGTACATTTTTTTTAGCTTGTTTTCTATCCATCTCTTGCAAAATGTAGGCGTACCCTGCAAGATCTATATATTAAATTACAATCCCTAATATTAGAAGTTGCATAGTTTTGTATATATCTTTCAAGGGGATCACGTGGCCAAGTGGGTAAGACGCTAGCTCGGTAGTCTGGAGGTCGGGTGTTCGATCCCTGCATTGGCCGAGAAAGTTCATTCAGATTTTCCAGCGTGGTTTGCCCTTGTCAGTGATGCAGGGCGAAGGGCCTGACAGGGACAGCTATCTAGTCGTTCGCATGGGACGAAAAACCGAGGTCCCGTGTACACATTGGCGTGCTCGTAAAAGATCCCTTGGCAGTTGGAATTCGATATAAGAGTAGGCCGTAGTGCCGCTGGCCGGGCAAAATTTCTCTCATAGCACACTGTATGGCGTATGCCCGTCTTCATTAGCCCAGGTTTAGGAGCAGAACAGTAGGACTATAAACCCCATTTCATTTCATTTCATTTTTATATCTTTCAATCACCAGGCTGACACATGTTATGATAAATGTCATACCGAGCATGTGTCCAGTAAAGTGGACAAATTGGGCATGTTATGGATTCGTTTATGTCTAAGGATAAGCCACGTACGGAGGGACGTATTATTGGGGGAATCGGACGCCACGTACCAGAAAATCGTGAAAATAATATCGACAAAAGAGTATGCTGTGATTAAACTCACATGATATTAAAGACTATGTAATGTGGATTGTATCCAAACCCATTTTTCTGAGTATTTTGGGGAGAAAAGGGTCTTTTCGATACAGATCGAGAATTTTAATTGGACAATAGTTCTGCATTGGACAAATCACCCCATCCGTGGAAACAAAGTCGACAAAAGAAAGATGACCGAAAAATACCACTTATTATAGAACGCTAAACATATATAACATACATTTTATTTTCTTAAGTTTCTTTCCAGGCACCCCGCCTTGTACTGACAAGGGGAACCACACTGGAAAACAACGAGCTTTTGCGGCCAAAACCGGGACTGATACCGGGACCTCCTTGTTGGTGAGCCTGTGCCTTACTCACCAAGCAATAGTCGCAGCCATTGTCGCTCAGCGCCTTACTCACCTAGCCATGGTCACTCAGCGCCTTACTCACCGAGCCATAGTCACTCAGTGCCTTACCCACCGAGCCATAGTCGCTCAGCGCCTTACTCGCCGAGCCATAGTCACTCAGTGCCTTACCCACTGAGCCATAGTCGCTTAGCGCCTATATCAAATTATCTACCCAGTGTTTATTTTCATTTTATACTTAGACATTCTGTTTCATTATTTCAGGCGCGTCCGCTATGATCCCTTGATGGAAATGGTTAGTTGTGTAAAACATAAAAGTTCGCGGTTCTTTGCTTACGTCGACACAATAATCTCATTGCATGCGTCCTATTATCAAAAAAAACCCCCAAAACCAAACGCTTTCTCGGCTACCGTATTTCCTATTATATATGTTAGTTTGAACTTACCCAACAACCGTTTGTGTCACAGCGTAACACTATTAGGTTGTTTTCAAAAGTAAATAGTTCAATATTCAGGGCAATAACCATTATTTGTGACGCATATCTGGCTTGGTAAACTTCTTTGGTTATGGCTGTTATTCGGTAGTTGAAATTTTTCGCTGGAAATGCTCTTGGAACAGTACCTTCAGCCAGAATCTGGGTGCATGGTATATATATGGAAGAGTCCTCGTGATTGAATGTTCTGATGTGTGGATCACCCATCATTGTGCAAATATGCATTGTGTCTGAAAATGAATGGGAAAGGGTATGTGGTTTAGAAATAAAGATAACTTTCTTTGAAACAATGTAAAAAAAATATCCTGTTCTGGTGTCTAAGCTTCCTCTTTGAATAAGGTCAAAATAGAATATTAAATTGTGTTGGTCTGCTGTGTTATTCGATTACTGATGAGTCGATATCTATTTTTCATTTCTGCTGTAACAAGTCGACAGTAGAACCGAAAATCGTTTATATCTCAACATCGACTTTTATTTATGGCTGTATGACAGATTGCAAGTTCACAAAAATGATCAGCTTCATAAAATACATTGAAATCGACAATTTTATTTTTTACCCAAAATCAATGAACTCTATAGTCATATTATGATAATGCACAATAATTAAAACATGTACTAAAACTAAAGTTTAGTTAAAATTTTCATAACTAGGGATCTAGATCTTTCCTCCTCCATCAAAATATGAACAGAACCAACAATCAAATCTTGATCTTGGTTACCTCCTGAGGGGGGTTGGATGGCCGAATGGTTAGCACGTGCGCGTTGTATCATACGGTCTGTCATTGAGTCAACTCGTGGGGTTTCGATTCAACGGTTCTACGTGACAAGGAGTAGGGTCGCCTGTCCAACCTCGTGGGTTTTCTCCGGGTCCTCCGGTTTCCTCCCACTGCTAAAGACCCCTACGCGCAAGCGAATTATTGAAATAAAATTGAACCATGTGTTAGTCCCGAAATGACCTAGTTTGTATCGAATGGACGTTAAACCCCATTCCTGTCTCTCTCTTTCTCTCTGGTTACCTAATGACTAGTGACAACCACAAAAACTGATCAGTCGGTGCAACATGTGTATCTAAAGCTAGTTTTTCACCCTCCGCGACTTCTCTCAAACAGTTCTGCTAGTCACTCACGTTCCACTTTTACCTAACCGAAAGAAACCAGTTACAAATCTCGTGATAATAAAACAGAGAGGAAAACCAACATTTTGACGTCATGTGGCTTCATTCAGTAATGCTGACAGGCCGTTGGTTTTGGAAATAATATATGTTACAAGATTGAATTAAACAAGCGGCTCCCATCGACAGGGCTCACCCTCTCACTGTCCCAATGCTTCGATTAGAAATTGAGAAAAATATCTAGCCTTAATCGCAAACACAGATTCAAACTAAATTTGTAAAAATCATTTTGAAAGCTATAGCCTTTATCATGCCGACAAGTGGTCATAAATCAGGAACCGAAATAAAATTCATCAGAGATTTTTTCTATACATTTTGTGTTTCATATTAATCGGACTACAATTTATTGTCGGCTGTAGAAGGTCCACACATTTGGTACATATTTTACCTAAAAGGCGGGGACCATACCCAAAGAAGTTGCGTGCGATCCGCCCCGCACCCAGACCTTTTGATCATAAACACATGTAATTTATTTGCACCTGTTTCTATGCATTTCTTATGTTTATGAGGATAGAGCGTCCACGTCCAAGGCATTATGTATTACAGGCTTTCCACTATTTAAGTAAAGGGTAGGGTCCATTTTGAGGGAAACTTACAGTCCGGTTTTCACGAAAATCGAACCCATCCGAGATTATGGTGTAGTGGGAATAATTCTGAATGGATATTTAAAATGGAATAAAAACTATGGTCTGTACAGGGTCCATAAGCTATGTGCGCAATTTTCTTACAAATAGGTAGGTGCCGAAACCGAATCAGCACGAGATCGTTGGGATGTAAACATAAGTTTTATATAATTAGCCACACGAAGTGTGGAATACGCTCACACATTATGTTGAGCAAATTTAATAAGAAAATCTTTCAAAAGCTACAGCCTCTATCGTGTTCACAAGGTTTTCGATGAGAGGGGGTAACTCTGAAACGGAAGGTCGCAGAACGCTGAATGTCGATAGGGTTCATCTTCTTTAAATCAATACACAACCCCAATGCATCAAATCAAATTTGAAAAGAATCCGTAAAGCACTGTAGCGTATATCATGTTCAGACTTTTGTTAAAGGAGGAATAACTCCGGAACAGAAAGAAGTAGAACGCCGAATATCGACAGGGTTTGTCTTTCCTCATGATCAAATTTGCACAAAAGAATTGTTAACAATCGGTCGAAAACTACAGACTCTGTCGTTCACAAAGGTGTTTTTTTGGGTTTTTTTTTTTACAAAAGTTGGATAGCTCTGAAACGGAAAACCGATAGAGTTCATGTTTTCAAACCAAATTCAAATTTGAAATTAATCCGTCGAAAACTATAGCCTCTATCGCGTTCACGGGGTTTTCTGAAAAGGGGGCATAACTCCGGATCTAAAAGTCCCGGAACGCTGAAAATCGATCGGTTTTGTCCACTCCTGACCTCGATACTTCACACCAAAAACACTAGCCTCTATCTCATTGACGGACCGCGAGACGACATAATACGCCCATACTGAAATGTGGGCGTATAAAAATCGAATAAAAATTGTAACCTCTCTTCATAGGGTCCTCAAACCAAAAACGCGAGTCTATCGGTCCATATATTAGTCTTGTTGGTGCTTCTGTGCTGCCAAAAGCCGACAGCGGACGCATAGCAAGAAACACCGACAAATTCCGACATCTATAGGCGACTTTTCTGTCGGGGAAAAATCCAATTTCGTCGCCCTTTGGAGACTTATTGGATATTCTGGACCCTGCGCTTGAATGACAGGTAATAAATTAATTAACCCCCTTTTTGTTAAGTTGGAAATTGAATCCGTGTGTGTATCTTATTGAATCTAATAAAATTTAATCAAATTCGGTCAGGGTGTATAGACTGATTCAATATAGAGTGCCCCACGCAGTCCGAATTTGCTCTATCAAATTTTGAACTCACAGTTTAGACCCATGCACAGCACGAGAATATTCCGATGTGTGTTTTATTTTGAGATCTGAAAGACTCTGTTTCCACTATCGGTCGTCCGACGGTGTGTCTGTGCGGCCTGCCAACCGGACTCCGACGACAGACTATCGCCCGATAGCGTCCCGACAATCGCTGTCGGTGGCGTCAATGACTGATTTTCTTGGCACCCGGCCAAGGAAGTTACAGTCCGATAAGTTACAAAATCGAAACCATCCGAAACGAACATAGACCTATTAGCTTCATCAAAATCGAATGTGAACAGACACAAGGTCGTGCGGACACATGGGTGGACACCGGCGACGGCATAATACGTCAAATTGAAAATGTGGCCGTATAAAAATGCATATTGACAGCATATTCGACAGAACCGTGTAGACAACGGTTGGTGACAGCAGGGTTTTTACCATAGATGTTCCATTAATGGGTAGTCCTTAGCAGTGGGAGGAAACTGGAGGACACGGAGAAAACCCACGAGGTTGGACAGGCGACCCTACTCCTTGTCACGTACAACCAGGGAATTGAAACCACGCCAGTTGACTCAATGGCAGACTTTAATAATAGGGATGACATGCCCGCTTTGCCGAAGTGGACTTGATGGGAAATTTAGTTTTCAACGGATTTCTTTCAAATTGATGCCACGAGAGGGCGGAACCCTGTCGATATTAAGTGTTCTGCGACTTTCCGTTCCGGAGTTATGTCCCCTTTTCCGAAAACCTTGTGAACGAGTTACAGGCTTTAGTTTTTAATGTATATTTATCATATTTGTCTTGATGCATGGGGGGGGGGGGGTATCGACCCCTATCGATATTCATAATCCACAGCCTACCGTTCCCGGTTTACCACTCCCCCCCCCGCCCTTTTGTCGATACTCTTTTGAACGCAATAGGGATTGCTGTGTGGGCGTATTCCACGCTTTCCGTGCTATCTTTTAAATTATCAACAAAAAAAGTGTTGGAAGTACATCTGGATAAAAAATAGTTCCTATTCAGCGTAAAGGTGTACATAAAAGAGTAAATGAAGGCGTAAATGAGTAAATTGCACAAATTCTTCCCAGATCAGTTTGTTTTAATTACCACACCCGATGTAAACAACGCACGTCCTATCGAGGTCGTATGATGTGACGTACACGTAAAGGTCAGTCACCTTCTACTGAGTTAAAAGAAGGCTTTTGCATTAAAGATTTGGAACAGATTGACTAAATATACCACACTTACCGTTGACACACCTAAGTCGGGCATTTCCAATATAACCGGCCATACATTGACATGTATTGGTAGTCGTATTACAAAATACGTTTACGTCATTAACGCATTTATAATCACCACATTGCACACCTGTAACAGATATAAGAATACACATAAAGTATTACATAAATGTTTCTAATAGGGCACCAAATTTCAGAAAATGTCTTAGCCAATGAGCTACTACAGCAGCAAGACATTTCTTGTTGTTTTTGTCATATTAACTTTTGTCCCCGTCCTTTAATCGCACAGTCTGTCCTACGTTTAATCCTCTCACTGTTCGCACAACTATTTCAGAAAATGCCTCCAGTGGCGGTGCCAGTCGCCGGGGTTTGGAGGGGCAAAGCTGGGGCAAAGTACAAGGTTAAGGGGGCAAAGGCACGACCTTCAACTACGGGTAGGGGGGCCTCCCCCAGAAATTTTAGAAAAACAGGCTGCCGGATATGCAGCCTGGCAGTATTTCAGGCACTGATCGTGGAGATAAAGTGTCAAACGACCGAACCTCGACGAAGCCCACTCACGAGCGCCAAAGTAGGGAATCCTTATGGAGGGTATGGGGGACCTCCCCCAGAAAATTTTGAAAAATAGACTGTCGGAAATGCTGTCTGACAGTATTTAGGCACCGATTGTCGAGATAAATAGAGCTGATCAGATACCGTCTGTCGCCTGATCACTAGTTTATCCGACCAGAGAGGGAAGTGTCAAACGGACGGAGTGATTGAATCAAAGTGAATGAATATTTTCGCCACGATATTTTGTAAAAAAAGACTGCCGTAAATGAAGCCGGGCAGTATTTCAGAAATAGAGCTGACCAGAAACTGTTCGTCGCCAAATCACCAGCTTATCCGCGAACAGAGAGGGAAATGTCAAACGAACGGAGTGAGTGTATCATTGAATGCATATTCTCGCCGCTTTGAACCTATATACCCAAAAACTTTGAGGATCGTAAAAAGCACTCCTCAAGTGGTTCACGTGTTATTGTTTTTGTAGGTTTACAGCAGGAAGGGCACACTGATCCGCAGTGAATATTTGCTTGGCCGCGACAATCACTGATAAGGATGACATTGATGCGGCTTAATGAGCTAGAAATATTAACTTTTTTCTTGCGACAAATTAAATTCTAAAACATTTTTTGTATATATTGGAAAAATAAATAAAGGCGTTTGACGTATTTGTAGTTAAAAATTATTTCCGATTTAGTGTAAATGGGTATTAAAATGACTAAAATGCAGCATTCTCTCCGAAGCAGTTATGTCTTATGTAAACAATGCACGCGCCATTCAGCCAATGATTCACACCGCGTGCTGTGACAGCACGTGTTAAGGCAGTCATCTATGACAGAGATATTATACGAGACTCATAATTCTCTGTGAAACAGATTGCAGGAAGAGCTTGGTAAGAAGAAATCACTCAGACTCTACAACATGCAAGTCTATGAATGAGTGGGGATGTGGGATTTAATCACAGTAGAAGGTATTGATTTTGATTACCGAAACGTATCACAAGTATTTTTTTTTTATTTTCCAACGTTATTGGGGGGGGGGGGGGCAAACAGAGGACAGACCAGATTTATGAGGGGCCAAATGCCCCCCCCCCCCGCCCCCTTGACGCCGCCACTGAAAACCTCAGCGCGACATTTCTTATTGTTTTTGTCGAATTTAACTTTCCCCCCGCCCTTTAATCGCACGCAGGATGGAGGGCCTGACAAAGACAGCTGTCTATTCGTTCGAATGGGACGAAAAACCGAGTTCTCGTGTACACATTGGCGTGCACGTAACAGATCCCTTGGCAGTTGGAATTCGATATAAGTGTAGGCCGTAGCGCCGCTGCCCGGGCAAAATTTCCCTCATGGCACACTGTATGGCGTATGCCCGTCTTCATTAGCCCAGGTTAGGAGCAGAACAGTAGGACGGTAAACCCCATTTCATTTCATTTCCTTTAATCGCACAGTCTGTCCTACGTTTAATTCTCTCGCTGTTCGCACAACCATGAACCGCTTGATCAACACAAATCAAGCATGCATCACCTGAGCAGACAACAATTCGACAGGTTGCCAGTTAGTGATCCGTTATGTTTTTATCCCGTGCGTGCCTCATGGGAGTTTTTCAGAAAATCCAGTAGTTTTCTCTACTTTATATTTGCCGTACCTTTATTGGAAATAACTACTTAAATGAGTGGGGCCTTACAGATGTTTATCAGTGCTTGCCAATTTCCTTCGAATCGTTTGCGAATGCCTTCGAATGCCCTTGCAAAGCGTGTGATTGCTTGTAAACGCTAATTTCGGCTCACATAGATAAGTTTACCCTTCGTTTATCTATGGGAAAACTCGCCGGCCATTAATCAGTGCCCCCCCCCCCCCCGCCTCTTTCGCGTGAATCCTGATTGGCTGGATTTGTTTGATTGAAATGCTGCCATTTTCTCGACAATTAGGCACCAGTTCGTTGCATGAGTTACATATTAATGATCTTTGGAACATTTTTCACATCTTGACATCAAAAGTTCATTCGAAAACAGACGATTTTTAGCGCGCAATGTGAGTGATCCGGCAAAATACACGAAATTTCTGAAGAAATGAGAGTTTGAGCCGCCATCTTGGATCTTTGTGAAGCGATCGACGGAAGTTCGTAATGCTAGGTTCCCACTACCAAGATTCGCGCTACCATTGAAATCGTTGTTTTAATCGCCGAGTAATCGTGATGATCCTATCAAGTCTTATCATAATATATTGTCGGTCAGTCGTAGTAATCCTGTTGATCGTATCGAAACGTATCCCAACGTATCTGCACGTACCCGATCGTGGACTCAATAGGGACAAATGTGACGCCCAGGGCTAAAGTTTCAGTGACACCCCCACCCCTTGCCTACTGTAACTGCTTTGTTCAGTGTCTGCGCCTAGTTGACTTTTTATGATTAAAGAAATTTTAAAATATAATTTTTATACTTTTAACACTTTATCTAATTAACTATTTATTAAAGAAACTTTTATGTAAAATTTCTATGTTAATTTCCCCCCTCAACTCTCCATTTGATCGAAAGACCCTATAATAAAACTTGGAAAAATCATAATTCTACCCTCTCTATTTGCTAATATGTCAACTGGTTTAAATGGGTTTAGGGGAAGCGAAGGCTTGCAATTTTCTATCTCAGCCTCTAAGGAGACTAGTCCATAAATATTGTAAGGGTCCCCCTTTGAATATTTCTTGTATGCATGTCGATAATTTATCGCCCCAAGAAGTGTCGCCCCCGGGCATATGGCCCCTCCCCTATGTGAGGGCCCTGGGGCCAATCCTATCGTAACGCATCGCACGACAGGGGGAACCCAGCGTAAGTGATGTTTACAAGAAACCTTTCGTGGCCCCTTTCACATGGGCTACGAATGCCACGAATCGTAACTTTTTCCTAGATAAATCGTAGAGGGTTCAATCCCTCAGTTGGACCTTTACCATAGTCAGTAGGTCTAGTGTGGACTATTAAACACTGAGCTGATTGTGAAGGAATATTGAACACGATATATTTCTTCCTTCTCTGCCAATACAAAACAGAGTTAAGTTCCAACTTACCATCAAAGGAATGAACCACAATCGGTGATACTAGCAAACATATTGCTATCTGCCACATTGTGTAAGTTTTGTTCTGCTAGTTGGTGGTAGAGTTGAAACTTAAATGCGTGGTTTACTGTCCAGTTGTTTCTTAAATAACCAGAAGATTTTACGTGATTTGAATATATCGACTACTGTCGTCGTGGAACCCATGATATATACATCCACAGCTGCCCTAATGAGACTCTACGTGTTTACTGTTTGACATTTTTCCATCAACTTTATTGACAGCTTGTGTTCCCAGATGGACAGGTCAAGTCGAGTTTTCCCGAATGATATAGTTGATCAACCTATATCTTTTATTTGTAAGACATTTAGTAGCCGAAGGAGATAATATTTATTATCTAGTATTGAAATAGTTTCAACATTGTTCAACCCAAAGTACAAATTATTTCGTCTTTAACAAAGTAATATACGGATAGTGACGTTATCAGGGTAACAGTTATCTGTCGTAAACAAACAAAGCTATGAGCACATATTATAGCAGTCTTCGGTGCTCCTAAGGCTCTCTCGGTATATTCAGAACTGAGTACCTCTTTGGAGTCAAAAAGAAACCAACAGAAGAAATACGGCACAAACTTAGAACAACTTCAGCCGTAAGAGCAAATCATGTACACCTTTCAATGCATTTTTGTTTATAAAGAGGCGATTTACAAGGTACCTTTTTTTTATCGATTACCAAATCTAAAGTGGTTTAGATAAATCACTGTTTTGACATAAACATACATGTAATATAGCAAGATAGTGAACAACACACACATCTGGATCAATTTGCAACTTTCTTGAAACGTTCTATGCAGCGTAGCCTGTTATCTAGTCATATGCATATTGACAAAGATTCATAAATAATCATATCAGTGTTCTACACTTTCCAACTACTAGGGATTTAGCACAATCATTTCGCCGCACACTTCTCTTACTTTCTATGCGTAAACTAATTGGGATTACTGCAAAGGCGGTGGGTATCATCTGTATCCTTATTATCGCCCAATCAAGGTAATTGTACGTATCGCGAGGAACTACATCTCCAGGATTTCCATTTTCCCCGTTTTCTTTAAAGTTACAATTTCATATTTTCTAAGAAAGTCAAAACATAATTATTTCTATGTCTTTTGCTCAATAGGTTGCCAACTCACTATTATACGATCATAGGTGTCATTCTCACGCTTTAAACTCATTTACACCGGAAATAATAACACAATTACCCCCAATTACCTCCCTTGTTTTATATTCTCCACCATGGAGTAGCTATCCTCAAACGTTTGAATTTGCAGAGGAAAATGATATTTTTGCCAATTTCTCAACTGGCATTAGTGAATTATAGGATTAATAAGATTATTCTTTAACAAGGTAGGACTGTTTATAGATACCATCTATTTTAAGGCTTTATTTTAATAAATTTTAAAAATATAACATAAAAATATGAAATTGCAACTTTATATTACGTTTTGCGTGTACAATAGGCCTATTCTTAATTTCAGATAGGGTAATGATCCAGAATCTAATTCCTGATAGAAATTTCATTTGTAAGAGATGCTTACAATCACACTCGTCGTTCACTTTAGAGCATTTTGGCGGCGGTAATGAAACGTCGCTATTCGTGTTCACGGTTCCTACCCATGGTGTTAATATAATTTATATGAAGCTACAGTAAACGAAATTCAAATATCAATGCGCGTATTCAAATGTTACCTGGAATGTAGAAACTACATCAATTTCCGAGCCATAGGTAAAAATAAGATATCTGAAACTAAAGTAAATTATTAATACATATTTTGTTTCGAAAATTTATCGGTAACTCATGAAACTCAAATGCCTGTATCTCAGTCAATTTTCAAGCTATAGATCACAAATTTTGCACAGTTTCTAGTTTTTACATGTATTTTTTCCTGATTTTTTCGAGGGGGTCGATTTCCCACCCCTGGCCCACTTGACATGGAATGACCGCATTGTTTATGGAGTATATCGGTAACTAAAAGAAAACATGTACACACGTGTGTTAATCTGTTGTGTATATGTACAATTTAGGAACAATGAGTGGAAGATAATCCTGGGATAGATTTAAGAAAATTAGTGAAGTTAATGGCCAATTGTTACTTATTGACCATTAAGTATGACAGAAGCAATAACATACAATTCCACAACTGCGGAATACACGAAAATATAATAAACAAACCTTTGTTATGAGTCTTTACTGGCCAGTCGACCTCTTGTTCATCAAACTGAACAAGATAATCCACCCACAACAAGGTAGCCATAAAACATCTCAGGTATGCATAAATATTTACAATTAAATAGGAATATGTTTAGCTATGAAATAAGACAATAATATCTAATAATATAAGGGCTCTTTTTCAATTTTACAATCCCATCGATGGTTGCGTACTCTATCCCGTAGATGTGTGCCCGTCTCCCCGATGTAAAATCTTTGACAACTAACTATAATTGCAAGTCAAGACACATATGAGATTCTTTGTGTCACATTTCATATTGTCGTTGACACTAAAAGTAAAGTTATGAAAATTATATTTGTTATTTGGCGTAATATGGTCGCAAAATTTACATCGAAGATCCCGGCAATTACTGTGACCAATTAAGGACGTGTTTATGAAGAGGCGATGTAGTAAAAAGGTTTGATGAATTGTCAGAACTTTTTTTTTGCCTTCCAATAAATCAAAAATGCGTTACATAACTTTCGTGTTTTTCGGTTGGCGAATCACTATTTAAGGAGGATCTGGGTAATTAAGTAACCTGATTCAATATGGCCGTGATATATTTTTTAAAAATCTTGATTGCACATTCGTCTTATTGAGAATGTACTTTAGTTATGTCGGTGTCTTTTGGGTAAAAATAACTTTACAGTGGTTTATATTGTTTATGTTCTTCTTAATTATATTTAAATCAAAGTACATGGCAGAAATCTGACATCATGGAGGACTGATGTCAGTTAAAGATACATCATGGGAGATTCGATAACGAGTTGGCAGTTCTCACTATAATAGTTAAAAACTAGATAATTTAAAGGCAATTTTCTGAAAATTTCATTCAAATTGATCCACTATGAACCGAGAACTAAGAGATTGAAATTTCCGCCTAGCCTCGATCATAATTACTAAAGTCAGTACGATAAACAGCATAGTCTCGATTATCCATTTAATTGTTAAATCGTGAAGGAAAGTTATGCAGTAAATCGACTCATAATCCACTAAAGATCGCAGGCTAGCGATGCCATTTAGAGTTGATTATGGTCTGGATAGGTTAATCAATGTCTAATTAATAATTTAGATAACATTTCAGGCCTAAAGAAAGACCTGCAATAGACAAATTTAGCTCTTGCATAATGTATGTTTAAGTCTTTTTTGAAGACAATGTTTATTTCATAGGAGTTTGCTCTTTCTTAGGGATATATTTTGCGTTTTGTCGCCCTTTTTAAAGCGCTGTAGCATCTAAGTCATCGTCAAACCTTGAAATAGTACCAAATTAACACACCGGAAGTGCTGTTGCTTACATGCTTACGGTAATATTGAATCTTCATGAGATATACACGCAAAGCGTGGACATACGTCCCCTCAGTTATCTCTCGACGGCAGCTTATCCAAAAGCAAAACGTTGATGTTAACCCAATTTGATAAGGTTCCTTTATGTGTTCAAGACATCTGATCCCACTATATCGTGTTCACAAGCTTGAAAATAATTCGTTAACACCTGTAGCCTCTATCGCCTTCAAGTGTGGTGGGGTAACACCGGAAGATTGAATATTTAAAGAGTTTGACCTCTCATGGCCCTATGCTTCACACCAGATTTGAAATAAAAAACAATGTTAAAAACTATAGCCTCTATCGCCTTAACAAGGTTTCGAACAAAGGGGGTTAATGTTTTAATTATTCGCCCTTGCCTGGTTACCAGAATGACATAGCTGTTGTCACTTATGTCCAAGAATATTGCAGTGTTTACATAACGTTTTGAACGTGTGTCAAGAACGAATCACAGTCATGGTGTGCGCACTTTGGACGGCTGCGTGAAGCAAATTAAAATAGCAAGGATGACTTCATCGGGATTGAAGATCTAGATCCGAAGATGTTTACCGACGAAATTGAACCTAATGTGTCAGAAATTTAGAGGCTCAAATTGAACCTAATGTGTCAGGAATATAAATGTCCAAACTAGTAAGAAGTTTTAAAAAATAGCCAAAAGATGACGAAGATCTTTATACAGAGGTATTTTTTTCAGTCATTTAAAAATTTTTTTTATGTACTTTGAGGTCCCGGCGATCTGAGGATAAAAATGAAATAGCGTGACCCCATTTCTCACACAACTTGTACCTGCTGGTTCTGACAAGCGTGCTACCTGTATTGCCGGGAGTCCAACCAATTAGTGCATGATTCCAAGCTCTGTCGAGAGATAGCTTACAAGATTAGATTTTCGGAGATTTACATTCTGAAATCGACTGTAGGCACAAGTCGAGCAGTAATAAGAAAAGAAGATAAAGAAGAACGCGAAACAAAACCCAATGACGAAAAACAAACAGCGTATTTTTCAAGAAAAAAATCTACTGTAGAAAATGACAAACAACCCCATATCAGCAGGTGTTTGTCAACCTGAACGAGAGGTGGAGACTGGAAGAGCGTTGGACTCGGACTCGGACGAAACTACAGATATGTTACGGCGATTGGGTCACACCTAGGCGTCCAAGGCATGGGTTCTGGACACCCTTTGATAACTGTACTCACCGAAGTATGTACAACGGGCGATATTCTTATTTACAGAAAAAACTCGTCATATTAGAGGAATTGGTGCGTTTCATCGTGGATTTGTCAACTTTGTATTGCGCAATTTTTTCTTCAAGGGTGACAATAAAATGAAGTGGGGTTTAACATCCTATAGTTCTGCTCCGACTGGGCTAATGAAGACGACGACTGGTGACAAATGCCAATTTGTTATGAAGAAAAGTGGATGAGATGTTTTGGTTTAAATGAACTACTATCTGTAATTTATCATAATAATAAAAGCCTCAAATATTACCACTGTTTGTCG